ATATTACTTCACTTACACTGCGGTTAGTGACGTTAGCAAAGGCTCCGTTGTCCAACAAGAACAAACAAGCTTCTTCAAAGCCGGCTCTAGCACAGGTGTGTAGCAGCGAATCCTGACTAGACGGGTGCACAGAATTCACAGAGGCTCCGAGTTTAACCATATTCCGCACTAAATCGCCACTCTGCGTGCTTTCAGCGACATTCCTTCAAAAAATCGTCAACGAGACACGTTCGTTCAAATTCAATACCCGACCATCAACGTATTATTCACGAATGGCTAGAGCATAATTTTAAAATGCCGCATTTATCCAAATACCAAGCGCCCTCAAGTGAGACTTTTACTCCAGTTTTCTTTTAGATAAATTTGTCCAAAAACGTATCCCTGCTTTGAAGACAGTTCTTGCTTGCTGAAAATGAAGTAATTGCAAAATCTTGATATTTTTGCTCATGTATCCATTTTTCCATGTTTATCATTGCCTACAGGAGCAGTTAAACTGCTTTAATTTAATGGCTCCCTCCATCAGAAAAAACATTTTTTTCATTTCTTTCCTTCCACATGAGTCTCCAACTGAACAGTTATTTCTTTGACAATTGTTTCTCGTGGAGAATAAAACTTTACGCAATGCATTTCCTCTTCATTCTTAAAATTTAAGTGGGATGCGCACTGGTTTCCCTGATTTTTTCTCTCCTAAAATGCATAGCCAAGTCCTACACCCCGCTTTTTTCATCAATTTCTGGTAAAAGAAGCGCATGGTATTTGGGTAAATACGGTAACTTATTACGCAAGTTTAAGATTACAGTAAAAAAGAAGTATTGTCAATAATTTTGACAGGCAAATGATTTCAAATACTGTACTTTCTCACCCCGCACTTGCTTTGATGACCAACCACAGTGCAGAGTTCCCATCGCTATTTCGCTTTTCAAAGTTTATCAGGTCCGACCTTTCCAGCATTCGGTTGATCACACGGTAGTTCAAGTTATCCACGGCAACATGCAGAGGTGTCCTAAAAATATGAGAAACGCATCATGAAAAAATAACTTTTGAGACAATAAATTGAAACCCGTTTAGCTAATGAAAGAATGACGACTGAAAACCCAAAGATTCAGCAATACGACTGGTACACAAATACCTCTCACCCATAAATATTCATAGAACAG